CAGCTTCCTTCCAGCGAGCACGAAGCCTGGCGGACGCTTACTTGACTTCAGACATAACATGTATTCAAATTTATCTTCCTGATGTGCTTCTCAGCAGTCAATACTGATTTTTTTTTTTTGAAGGAAAGGAAAAGGCACTCTTTTTAGCGTTTAAACAAAATCAAATGTTATCCAAAAGCCCACACCTCTACCTGGCAATAATTTCTAACATGCCCTTTAAAATTTTTCCTATTTTAATCACTAAAGATAGTTTTTACGGACTTTCTTCTGTTCTCAACTGAGCATTTAAGGTATTTCCAGAGTGAGCAAAAACTCTCTGAGCTAATATGGAGTGCTTTAGCAGGCACAAAAGTATGGCTAACAATGTTCTTAAAAATACCACAGGAGACTGAAAGAAAATTAAAACAGCCAGCGAGATCATGCCAGGGAAGAACAACCCCAAATATTTCTAGGAAACAGCAAATGCCCCAGTGTCTTACCTTGTCGCACGCACCCAATCTCTCTTTTTCTAAGAGTTTCTTGGTCTCCCTCTCCCAATAGGCCATCAGCGCTTCCCTGCTGAAAGTCCCCGTCGGTGTTTTCTCCGTCAGACTCTTCTGCCGTTGTCCCACCGGAAGGTTACGGTCGGGCTCTATGTCCTCCAGCTCCCGCTCCAGCTCCTTCAGCTCCTCTTCAGTGAGAGAAGCGAGGAGCTCATCTTCATCAATGTCTTCATATTTACTGAGCTCTCTTCTGTAGCCAAAGGTAGACATGGTCCCGCTTGGTCAGGCTGGTACAAACCTGAAGTGACTAGGCATTCAAGAAGGCTGAGGCAAGCAAGCTGTGTCTTGTTTGGTCAGCAACTGTTTCCCTGCGTAGCGGAGGCACCCTTTTAAGAGTAATCATCGGGGGCTTACGACAATGCACGAAGGGATGAAAGCATGCTCCGTTTTAAGCATCAGACGTCAGCTAGACATCTGAACAGCAAGAATGTCCCAACACTAGTGTTTGCAGGTCCCTTAAAGAGGGGGATTATTGACACACTGGCCATGGCCATATTTAGAGCAGGCGGCTAGCAGGAGAATACCAGCCTCATGGGCGGGGGGGCGGCAGCAAATAAACCGCCGGGCGCATTTACACCGACTTAGTGTCCCAACGGCCGTAGTGAAAGAATAATGTAAACCCACTTAATCCTGAGCTGCCATAAGGGCTGGAAATAAAACACCCCCACCATTGTTCACCGGACTTCCTCTCATTTTCACGGTTTTTGAGCGGAACCACGCTGTTATCCCGACAAGGTGTTTGCAGGAGGTTGGGATCAGTGGGACAGCAGCCCAAGGGGAGGAGGTCGGCGTGCTGGCGCCTGCGGGGAGCACTGCTCCTGCAGTGTCACACATTGCCTGTAACAAATCACACCACTAGATTATTTATTAATTCCCCTTTTTTTTTCTGGAGGATGAGTGGAGGGAAAATCAGCTTGGCACGTCTATTTGGAGATCCTGTGAGATTTTTTTTCACGCGGAGAATTGCACCCTGCTGAGGGAGGGAGCAGAGTCCCCCGGAGCTTTAGGGGTAACCAGCCCTGGGTGGGCAGCGGGGCTCCGTCTTCACCACTTCTGACAGCCCCTAGCAAATGAAGGCCTCTAGTGGCTATTTTAGCTAATGGCTATCACTTGCTGTAGCTGCCTGATGTGCAGCTGGAGAGTGCCCTTCAATTCTTAATTTTACATGTGTATCTACATTATCATGTCTGCTAATAAATGATATATGATACTGATATTATTTTTATAGAAGGGTATCTTCCAATATGAGAAATTACAGAATGAAAGGTTAAACTTCACACTGGTTTTTCTTTTCTCTATTAGCAGTAATGACAGTGAATTAGCAACATTTTCTGAAACGTGCAGGCCAGCAGCATCTGCAAACCTGTGTTGTGAGAGAGAGAGAGAAGGAGAGGAAGAGAGAAGGGCAGAGAAAAGGTTGCATTTGGTACAGGGAAGTAGGAGCACATCTATAAAAACATATATCAACCTTATTAAATTATAGCAAATGGTGGGTTTATTTTTAGACGGCCAATTCAGTAATGAAAATGTAAGTGAAAATAATTTGAAGTACCATTCTCATCCAACATCATCTCTTTTTGGTAGCGTGGATTGGACACCTGAACTAGTGTATGGTGTTTAGCCAAATTTCTCATTTAGTTTTATTATTAAGTATATCGCTTGCATATGCATATCAGCAATGGGGAGAGGACATCAAGCATGATTTTCATAAACAGATTTGATAAAGAAATTACATTTTTCCTTTGATCATTTTTCGGTATGAATTTCCTGCAGTTCAGCTTGCTCAAGAAGTGGGCTGAAAGCTTACAAGCTTAGTCTTCCCTAACACACGAAATACATTAATGAAGCAGACTAAAGGATCTTATGCATCTTAAAATAAAGTAAATATTCGCAGGCCATTTACATTGACCAAATCTTTGCATAAAATAAAAAGGAGGAAGATGCAAAATAGTTTGGCTTATGGAGCGAAGAGTGTTACCTTCATGGTATAAGATACTGTGATGGGTCACCTGTGCCTAGGCAAGTCAGTGGGTCAGTAGAAGTTCTGTTCGCTCTTTCAGCCACACTTGCAGAAATTATGCTTAGGGCAAATTCTGTAAAATGTGAAATAGCAGGAAAAAATAATAATACCATTTTTCTTTTAACTTTGCATTGGAATGCTGATGTTGACATTAACTAAAGGTATATAACAGAATTCCAAGCAATTTTATTTCTTTAGTACGTCTAGGACAATGGTTAACTTTGTTATCATTGGAGTCAGCCAGAGAAGCAGCACAATAAAATTATCTTTATTGGGGACATTTTTTCAGACAACATTTTGCTGCAAACATTTTCAGATGGAGTTGGTTAGAAAATTTGCACTGGACACATTTTCTGTTGGAAAATGCTGATTGAAACAGAAATGCTTTTAGAAATGTGCTGTGTTTTATTAGTACAACATTGACATGTACAACATTGATATGTACAATATTAAAAGCAAAACCATGCTGTTAAAAATGAAATCTATTCAAATATACTGTTTCCCAGAAAATTCTGACCTTTCTGGTTTTCCTTTTTTCCTCAGACACAACACAATTTCTAAGTCTCTGACTTTTCCTGGGCTGAGAGTCCATATTACAAAGTACAAACATATAGATACCTGAATCGTCTATTTAAAGTTTTCTACACATAATTCAAATTTTCCAAGCTCAAAGGAACTTCAAAAAGAAATGTGCATTACCCAATTGTAAAATAATATTCCATTAGTCCAGTCCTTGGCAACAACACGAATATTACCTTCAACGCTACTCCTTGCTGTATACAATACTGGGCCAGTGGTGATGTTTTTCTATATATAAAATGTCAGTGATGCCCATTCCAGCCACGAGATAAGATAATTTAAAGATGTCACTACAAATCTACAAGCTGTTTTATTGTAAATATTTCCCCTGAAGCAGGGGGGAAATTGGCACAGTAAAGTAAGGTTATGAGAGGTTTGGGTCCTTTCTTAATCCTGTACACATCACTTGTGGTAATTTAAGACCCATTCTTTATAGGGAGATGGCCAAGGGTGAAGACCCATGAACGCTGTCTAGAACAATTTTAATAAAAGTAATAAGGCTGTAGCACATGGCAAATTACACACACACAAAAGATGCTAAAACTGTAAAGCTGAGAACTCACAGGTCAGAAAATGTGGGGATAATATTTGTCCTTGCCTGTTGATGAGCACTGAAACACAGTCGTTAATTCTGTAATTCTGTAATCATACACTTTGATCCCAGACCCATGAGTCCCCAGGACCTTTACCCTGGTTCAGTGTACAGGAGGGATAATGCACATTTAATAAACAGCCTTTCAACATTTTCTTTCGACCCTGTTCTTCTGCATATCAAGACTATCAATGGCTTTATTTGTCCAGCGGCCCTTTCAGGAGATGTGAAGGTGTTACTGCCTTTGTGAGGAGGAAGAGTAGAGGTACAGAGACCTTAAGATTGAAAATACCCACTAATTTGGAGTTTTGGATTCCCCATTGGGGGTATTTGGCATTATGCAGCACTTCAGCTGGTCAGGGCTCACTTCCTGTGGGCACCAGCCACTGCTGAAGCTGCCCACCACTTTGATGGTTCAGATCACAGGTTAACACTCAAATGATTTAATTACTGTTAAGCTGACTTGTCCAACTTCTGAGAGGAACTCTGCTGCAAAGACAGGAGTAATTGTGTTTTCCTGTTATTAACATTCTTGCCTGAAAGTTTTTGTTCTCGTTCCACAGTCTCATTTCTCAGGCATCATACATGTTCAGATTTCTGAAAAAAAAAAAGCAAAAAAAAAAAGCAAAAAAATAGCAGTCTGAGCATCCTGTTATCCGGCCCAGGCCACATGCTCGATCACGCCATCATAAACAGTTTAAGAAGAGAACTCATGCTAGGGAGGTGGCACAGTGAACCTCCTTCCATCACAGAAGGCAGGAGGGCAGATCATGAGCCATATGCACTATGAGAGGGCAGGTTTATACTGGCTGCACTGACGACTGTTCAGGATGAATCCTCCAAAGAGCTTCACCACCTCCTAACAGAAAACTCAAACTCTCCTCCCTAAGGCCCTGCCGAAACCCTGTATGCAGGGAATAAACCATTTCACTTATAGGCCATGAAAACTCATCACTCAATCAACAGAATTATTAAAAGGTTTGTTCCCTTTGGGACCTGAGCTAAGATGAGAGAAAATGAGAATGGGGAATGCCCATTTAATAGGAGCAAGATTCACTCTGCCATTGCAGATACTCGGTACTCAGGTTCTCAGCTTCAAGTGGGATGGAGCCCACTCAACAGCAGCTGGATTGCAGACAGGACTTGCAATCTTTTCTAGCCTGGGTCATCTATTTTCTTGGTTTTAAAAGAAGAAATTCTCCTAAAAGTTTTCTTTTTCCCTTTCCAAGCAAATAATTTCAAGCAGCAGCCTAGGAAACTTTGTACAGCTTCTCAGACATTTCCACACTTTGGGCACACTGGTGCAATGACTGAAAGGACGCAAGCAACACCTGAGGGGTGGTACTCAGCCCCCGGCAGGGCAAAGCCCCCAGTTTAAATTTTGCTTCCACTTGGGTGAGTGCAGGGAAAACTACAGGCGAGCAAAGAGAGGGCTGCACAACCTTGTCCTCAGGCGCGGGACACGGCCGGCCCCAGGACGGTGGCTATTTCAGTCCCGGCTCCTGAGGACAGCCTGTCAGACAGATGCGTTGGCTCGTACCGAGCTGCAGTCCC